GTGGAGGTCAGAGAACAACTTGTTGAAATTGGTTCTCTCTTTCCACCAAGTGGGTTTCGGTGATTGAACTCAGATTGTCAGGCTGGGAGGCAAGTTCCTTTAGCGACCGAGCCATCCTGCTGGCTCTGGATTCATCTTCTCGATGGAAACGTTTGCTGAGGAATTTGATGTAGTCATTGTCTTCTGGTGAGGGCTCAACTCTAGATCTAGAGTTTAAATCTCTGAATCTGAAAGTCTGACCCCAAAGCTGTTGACTATTAGAGGAAAGCTTGGAGACAACGGCTGAAATTCTTTGATCCCTATCTTGGTATTTTGGTTGTATCTTTGTTGTTGAATGTCAGCAAACATGAGTCAGCATCCTCTGCAGAGTCCATTGGAAAGCAAACTCCCAGGCTTTACCTCTAGATCCAGTAGTTTTAGTGTTGGGCCCAATGGTTTGCACTTACAAGAAGTTTCTGGATAAAGTTGATGCTACTGGAACTGAAAGTATGCTCTTTCTCTCTATCTCTCTGTCTCTGTCTCTCTGTCTCTGTCTCTGTCTCTGTCTCTCTCTCTCTCTCTCTCTCTCACACACACACACACACACACACACACACACACACGTATGTGCATGCGCGCACTCACACACTCATGCAGATGTTTGTGGAGCCAGAGGTCATTGTTGGGTGTCGATTGTTTCTCCACTTTATTTTTGACAGAGTCTCTCGCTGAACCTGGACTCACTAGTTGATGGACTTGTCAAGGACCCAGCTCTGTCCACCCCCCCACCCCACCCCCACCCCCGTGCTCCTATGTACCTGGCATTTCACATGGGTGCTGGGATCCACCCTGAGGTCCTCGTGCGGAGCCATCTCAGCAGGCCCAGCAACTGCTCTGTGAATTCCTGTGCCCAGGTTGTGGGCTGGAGAATCTGAGTCTGACCAAGTCTGGTCCAGAACATTCCCATTGTCTCGTAATGCGGCCTCTTGTTCCACTCTCAACATACTGTCCTGGAGTCTGCGTTTTCCACAGTACCAGGTGATCAGTATAGACTCTGACGTTGAGAAGGACCACTCTAAAGTCTCCTGCGTATTTCTTACACAGCCTGTGAGTTGTTTCAGATTCCAGGATGGGATGTTTGAGCCACATCACTTCCAGGTAAAGACAGCTCTGACAGAGCAGCCAATGACCGAAGCTTAGCACTGTGGAGGCCAGACTTCCCTCATCTTCCTGATGTCTTGTCTATCAGTGAACTGGGACCCAGAATGGCTGGAGAGCACAAACGGCTTATGAACACCGAGAAGCTTGCTTCAGCACAGAAGCCCCAAAGTCCCAGGGGACAGCATGCTGTGACTCTTTGTGAGCCAGCATCCTGTGAACCATAGGGAGCCTAAGGTGGCCACATTTTGGCCTCACTGTACAATTCTCTAAATTCTATGCCGCAGAAATGTCAACACTGCTCTTGGCGGAGCTGGCCGCAGTGCTGGGTGGGGAGGCAGGTGTCCAACATCAAATAACACTGTCTTGGACCTGAGCAACCCAGAAAAAAATGTAAATGAAATTTAAACAGTTATGATAAGAACCAGTCGACCACCCGGTCCCCCCTTCCCAGCTCCCTCCCCACCCCCAACCCCACCTCTGCCACACACACACACACACACACACACACACACACACACCTTTGTACTACCTCTTTCTTTGCACATAGAGCTGGAAGTCTTTGGAGTATCATTGGACTTGTAAATACTGTTTAAAAAACAACAAACAACAACAACCAAACAAGCAAAAAGCCAACTGAGACAGGGTCTGATTAAATGAAGATTGTAAAGCCAAAGCTGTCACCTTGAAGGACCCATCAAGATTTACAGTTAAGGGTGAGGTTAGATTACAGTTTGCTAAATGTATACATTTTGTGACTAATCAAAAAATTGGCATGCCTTTTGCTGTTTGTACTGTTTCAGTCACCAAGGGCTAAGACCATGGGAATTATAAGGTGAAATTCCTCAGGAAGGAAAATTATAGAAAAAAAAAAAAGCCCAGAGTATAATGTTGAAAGACTTCAGAACAAGCTATCTTGGTGATCAGGAGACCCTGTGAAGGATAGAATTTCTCATCCCTGAGGTATTGACCTGAGGCATGGGCAGAAAATGGTGAATAGGGTTATGCGTATACTTTCTCTGGCTGTAACCCCATTTTATTTCATTTTGGAAGCTTCTTCTTTGGCTACCACACATCAAGAGAGGTGCAGAAAGGATGAGGGACCCAAAGCATCTGGAGTAACGAGTGTGAACTTAAGTGTTCCAGGGCCTTTAGACCGTCCAAGGGCTTTCCAGTGCACTTAAAATGAAGCCCAGACTCCTTATCAATTCCAAAAGGCCTTATGTAATTGCCTCCTGTCTACATCTCCAACTTCATTCTTCCTTTCACCGCCAATACTTGAGCTATTCTGAGGCCAGACCCCTGCACATTTTTTCTCCCTTTGGGACTGGGTTTCACTTCTGCCTGGGATGCATTTCCTTCAATTCCTCTTATCTTTCTCCTAGGATGTGATTTCTGTGGCATCTTGTCTAAAGTAATTTTTGCTTCCAGCAACTATCCATTATCACCCTGTTCATTTCCTTCTTAACTGTTCTTTTGCCAATCCCTATGCAAGAAAAAAAGCACTTTCAAACTGAGTTGTTTAAATCAAAAGCTGTAATTTGATTCCCAGCTCACATTCCATCTGTTGGGACAGGAATTGAAGGTGTGGTCAGGTGGCTTCGCTCGGGTCTCCCACAAAATTTCAGTAGAGATGAGTGGAGCTAAAATAATTTGAGGTTGGGACATTTAGGCAGGCTAGACACCCTGTGTTTTCAATGACATGGTCTCTCCATGTGCACCAGCTTTAGTATCTTCATAGTTTCACGGCCGTGGAGCAGTCCAACAATGTACGTGATAACTGGAGTCTCCAACAGTCAAGTGTTCCTGTGGGTGAAATGCAGACATTACATTATCTTTTTGACCCAGCCTGGAAAGCCACTTACCAACATTTCTGATTTTCTGCTGGCTCAAGTATAGGGGAAGGAATAGTCAGGGCTGACTCTAAGAAATCTCTCTCTTGTGATCTCATGGTCTTTAGGCCAGTTTTAGATCTTTGAAGATGTTCTATCTTCCTTTGAAAGACACAGGCTTTCTCAGGCTCAGAAGCCCATGCCACTGTCCTGCCTCTTGGAGTTACCTGCTCTGCATGTAAGTACTCCCCTCTGGCCTGCTTCCTCCCAGTCTCCTTCTCCAAGTTCTCCAGTTCAGGGCAATGAGCAAGTGAAAGAAATTCTCTCCTACTGATACTTAATCTGAAGATTATTGGTTATTGATGATCTAACTACAGGTTACACTGCCTTCTAATTTTTTAGGTATTGGGTAAGTCAACTTTATGAACATTTCCTGACTTATTTTCCATTCTATACTTGACTTTCTACCACATTTGCCACAAGTGTTTTGTTCAACAAATGGAATTTGATATGAATGACTTTAGACAAAATTGTCCAGGTGCACTTTTGAAATGCCAGTAAGGAGTGTGATGAACTGCTCAAAGAGATGCTGTACTAACTGCACTTGGATCATCTCCATAAGGACAGTGATGATGTATCTCTGTGTGGGAACTTCCAGATGAGGATTCTTCCAGAACTGTTGCTCTTCTTCCATACTCAGGATAGGAACTAATTGGATCATGAAGCCAGCCTGGCAGAATAAAGTGCTGATCTTGAGAAAATACAGATTCCAGTTTCTCATCTGCAGCAACATTCATATGTTTCTTTTCACGAGAAAAATTGACTTTAGAGTAAGTTGGTTGAATACATATATTTCAATAGAGAGCTGAAGGCATGTGGTTGCTGGTCCAGGCTACCTACCTGCAATTTTTCTAAATCTTAGTGAAGTAGCTCCTGTAGCAAATAGCCAAAGAGAAGCAGTGCTAATGGACTCCAGGTAAACAGACAAAGAGATGGAGTTAGGAGTCTGGAGGTGGTAAGAAGGTGTTGCTTGCCTGGCCCAGGACTCCAGCAGGCTGGCTATGGCATATGACGATAGCAGAGAATCTTAACAACACCCAGAATGACAAATGATGATTGGCTCATCTAATGGACTAAAGGAAAATCTCACCTGCAGTATTAACCATGACATAAGTAAGATCTCACCCTTTTCTCTTGACCCAGGACCCAAACACAGGACTTAAGTAAATAACCAAAGTGGACTGGATATAAGCCAAAAAATTCACTTTGCCTGCTAAGTACTTTTAGACACTAATAATGTTTTCTTTGCATGTCTGGATATTGTTTCTCCTCTTGGATGCTAAGCATTGTGAGACTGAAGAGCCTGCCTTACATGTCTTTATCTTCCCAATAAGGCTAGTCTGGTCTCCAGTAATCATCTATCAACTGAGTGGTGGATTGTGTAAGTATTCTTCACATGACTGCAATGAAATCAGTGTTTCCTGGCCCCGATGCTAGGTGTTATTGTGTAAAGGGAAAGACAAAGTCTGTGAGAAACAACCTGGAAACATCTTCCTCTCTTTCTCCCTATCTGATTCCTCCTTTCTTCCTTAATTTTCTTTCATTTAGAAATGTAGGACTGTGTTTATTTTGCATTTGTTTTCTTTTAAACTCCCTTTACATGTGTAGTGATTATAATGCATCCGGGTCAGTGTTTTTCTTTAAATGGAGTGTTACAGGAGGTGGGAGAGCTGCTGCAATGGGTAAAGTGCTTTCTATGCGAGCGCGAGGACAGAGCTCAGATTCCTAGAAGAAAGCAGGGCAGGTATGGCATCCTACCTGTAATCCTAGCATATGGGGATCAGGGACAGGAAATCCCCAGAACAAGCTGGATAGTCAGACTAGCCAAGATGAGCTGAAGGTTCAGCAAGAGACCCTGCCTCAAATGCACACACACACACACACACACACACACACACACACACACACA